TTATAAATGGTGGCTTATTATACACCTTTCGATGATGAATGAAAGAAGGACTTATAGGTCCTCCTGGTATTGATTTTAAATTAACGGATGATGGAAATTATGATACTGAGAATAAAATTTTTAAAATTTGTTTAAATCCTGTAGATAACCATGATACTGCTAATAAAGAATTTGTATTAAAATATATAGTAGATAATTATTCTGAATTCACAAATGAATTAATTGAAAAAATTACAAAATTAGATAACGATTTGATAATTTTTTTCCTCAAAATGCAAGATACATTAGAGCCATAGAAGGAGCAATTAAAGAAGAAAATTCTGATAATATTCGAATAAATAAAAGTACATTAGAATTTAAAAAGAACCTAGAAGATAAATATTTACAAATTAAAGATGTCATAAATGCAAAAGAGAGAAGAATAGAAAATGTTGGAAATTCAATAAAAGATCAAGATGCTTCAGCGGGAAAAAAGTATGTTTTTGATATTATTAACGATGCTTTTAATTTCAATGATTTTAGTCCTTTACATGTTATTTGTTTAGGTGCTTCTATTAACCCTAATAAACATATTCATTTTTCAAGTTTTACAAAATATAGAATACTGGATACAGATTTTAAATTACATTAAAATCAGATTATTTTTTGAAAAATTACCTTTTAGATTTGGTTGAAGTTCGAATTAAAGTTGGTGATAACAAATATGAATTTGGTGCTTCTAAATCAAGATAAATCACATTTTACATATAACGGTAATAAACTTAAAGTAGAAATTCGAACGAAAACGCCTTCTATTGGCCAACCTTATTTAAAATTTGAAGTGTTGAACTAGAATCCTGAATTACAGTCAAAGTAAATGGATGTTAATTGGGGTGAGGTTTCCAAAAGTAGTGTTTTAACAGGAGATTTAATTAAACATTTTGAAAATGATGTTCACTGGGATTTGAGTTCTAGATATAAAAAATTATCTATGTTTCATTAGTGAATATATTTCAGCTCAGAAATTATCTGAACCGTTTATGATATGCAAAAAACGTAATAGGGGGTTATTTATATAGGTATCAAGTATTATCTAAAATAAATTGGGACACAATTTGAGTATATCAAATTATAATTTTATTTACAAAATTTTAGAAAATTAAATACTATAAAATTAATTTCTAGGTAGAAAAAATTATCAGAAAATACTATTGAAGAATTGAAAGATGATTTAGATTGGGATCAATTAGACATTAAGATTTGAGTGAAAGCTTTTAATTAAACATGAAAATAAAGCAGACTTGGGTAATCCAAATTTATATAAACAAGAGTCGTAAAATTTCATTAAAAGACATTATGAGAGAATTTGTATTATAGTATTAAGTCACATATAAGCATTGCTTAAAAAATATTTACTAATAAAATGGAACTAATAAATACAGTCGATAATTTACTTGCAAAATAAAACTGATTTTTAGAAGTTCTAGAATCTTAATATAAAAATGTATGTATAATATAGCATTTAGAATTTTACAAGATTATTTCTTATTTAGAAAAGATTGAAACATTATAAGTTTTCGAGGATAGAAATACAGTTTGTAGAAGGTATCCATTGTGTCTTTGTTTATAATTCAAGATATTTTAAATTCTCATTTTATAGATGGACTGAATAAAATGCCTTTAAAAGATTTTTACTAATAAATGAAAGAATTCAGTAGTCTCGGATATTATCCTTAAACTCTAAAACTGAAAGATTTAGAGCCTAGGAGATATTATCTGATATTACTGAAAACAATTCAAACTTAAGTTGTTAAACAAAAGTATATGTTGGAGAAAAAGAGTATTTTCTTAAAAAACGTCACAGAAAAACTTTCTCATAATGAAATCAAGGAAATTAATATAGGAAGCTAGGATAGTCAATATATGGATGACAACAATGGAGAATATTGATGACTTAAAAAACTTAGGATTGTGGTTTACAAAAGTACATATTTTTGAGTATTTTAAAATTGCTCAGATTTAATCTTTATTATTTATTATTTATTTTTTAATTTATTTTTAAAATTTATTTTCAGGGTCTAAAAGACAGTATTTTATCCTTTTGTATTTACGTTAGGTCGCTTGATATGTTTTGTATTTTTGTATCACTTGTTTTTTTTAATTTTGTGATTTAAAAAGTTAAGTAAAATTCTTTGTATAGTTATTATAATTTTTTGTAGGAACTGTTTTTTATAATGAACAGCGATTTAGTATTAAAAATAAACAGCGGGGGGACAAAATCTGCAAAAGGGTGAAAATTGTGTGTCGGAAATGTGGTGCGCCCGACAAGTGTAGTGGAAATATCTGCCTATGAAGGGCATGCCTCTCAAGGTAATCCTTCAATCAAGCAACGCCGCCAGTTTCGTATGCGTTCTGTTTTGTCGTATTGGGGATATTTCTAAAAAAAAAAAAAAAAAAAAAAGGGGTGCGAAAACCGCTGCACCACATAAGTAACTTTTAACTTTTCATCTGTGAAAAGTCGTCAGATTCCGCCAAGGTTAGTTACTTTAATACATAAGTACCGACGAGCCATCCTCTTGAAAACTACCTCTGATGTAGTTGGATGGTTTCCAGTTCATTTCCAGATAGTTCGCCATACAATTTCAATTAATAAAATTTTCAATATTTCACTTCCACAGCACACAGAAGGGTTCGTAACCTAATGGAAGGAATTCTTTCTTAGAAATCTGGCTCATGTTCACGTTACATGTGAAAAACCTCATGCAACTAGCCCGTCGGTCGGTAGGGGAGTCCGGCTTGGGCAGAGTTAGTGGTGAACTGAGAAAGATTGGCTTCGTGACAGATTTTTATAAGGAAAACTGGCTCACATTAGCGTTAAATCCTCATGCCGTTAGAACGTTAAACTACGAGAAATAGAACCCGGAGTTAATTGCCAATATTTCGTTCTTCGGCCCTTCATTATTTTTAAATTACTTTGAATTAAAATATGCATATTTTTGTAGCATAGTATTTTCAGATATTACTTTAAACTCTTGGAAATAAATATGGGCAGACATATTCTTATATTTAAGGCAGAAAAAAATATATACGCAATTATTAAAACTGCAGAAAATTAAACTCTTAGAGACCTAATTAATTGCTAAGAACTTTAATACTAAATATTATAAATTCAATATACTTTTCTACAAAAACTTTTAAATTTCCCTCCACCAGTGCGAGTCTAAACTGCGATAATCAGAAGATGTCGCATTACATTAATGAAGTAGTTCACATTTCTCATACTTCCCCCCCCACACACACACATAACGAAATACCCTATTAAAGATATAAACCCGACTTCGACCTCTTTTGTGTGTGTAGAAACTGCAAGTAAATCTCAGCCATTAAACATACATTGTATAATAGTAGTTAATGGATATGATTAGCTTCACCTATAAAACTTGTTCATATTTTTGTTGGGTAACAAATTATAATTTAAATAATGGTTTTCGGTTTATTCTTCATTGTGTACACAATACTCATATATTTTCAATGCATTTTAAAGAGGATATTAAGGCGTCCATAAAAAATTACAATATTATGAGTTCCCGGGGTCAAAAGGGTTTGAAACCACACATCTAGGTTAATCAAACAATCAACCAAATCAACATAACTTCGGTTCTTCTTAAACGTTTTCTTTAAACTGCGTTACGAAGCACGAAAGGGAAATAAAAGATACGATTCGTTTATGGGAAACTTTTTAAGGGAAATTGGCTCATATTCATTACATACATGGGGAATACCTGAAAAATAGTAAACTATTATAAAGTAAGACCAACCAGTGGCCGAATGGATAAGACAACTGATTAGCGATAATTCGAAGCAAGTTCAAATTCCAGCGAAAGCACTGGATAAATACGTGGTTCAGCTGTATCGTGAATGCGAAATCTTCCACAAAGACATTCCTCTTAGGCAGATAACCCTCCTTTCTGTCATAATTAGCTAAACAAACTAATATAAATAATAAAAGATGAAATTTTATGCTAATTACAATAAAAGATTAAATTTAATACACTTGAAGTGTGATTAAAATTTGAATTTTGAGAAGCAAAAGCCTCCCCCCACACCACACACACACAAAACACCAAAAAAAAAAAAAAAAAAAAAAAAAAAACACCCTCAAACATTATTAAAAAGAGAAATTTTTTAAATACCACGGTTACAACAACCATTAAAAGAAAAGATGATTCAACAAATCATTAATTTCAGAAATATTTACCATTCATGTATTACAAAATGCTACGAAAAATCAGGCGCTTACTAGCTCAGAAAATAAACATTGCTTCATGATTTGTATTCAAGTAAAAAATATCGAAAACATGAAATATTTACACCCGTCTTATTTTGCTTTGACAATATATGAACTGCGCATTAGCTCTGAAGCAACGCAATTTTAAACCTAAAATTTTAGTACCTCATCTGTTTTTTTAAGCCGATATTATTATAAGCTCTCAAGACGCAGCCTAAAATGTTAAATTAATTTATGTTGACTTAGAAAAAAAGACATAAAAAATATTAAAAAAGACAAACGAAAAGTAGAAACAGGAACAAAAAGACATAAAAAAGTAGTTATATGATAGATTTTTACCATATATTTGAAGGATACCTTTGAATGAAATACTTTAAAAAGTATAAAAAATGTGTTCATAATTAAGCTTCCTGCACTAGCCTTGTTGACCAAAATAGCTCTTTTTAAAAATCGATAAAACGTACAAATACAATGTGTCCATAATTAAACTTCTTGCACTGGCCTTGATGATCAAATTATCTGTTTTTGAAAAATCAAAAATGTCCCCATCGAGAATTAATAATTCTGAGAAACGAAGCAATTTCTTTTAAATATTCAAACATGGTTCAACAACATGGTAAAAACTGTGTCAACAAACGCTGATAACATGGTATCTCAATGGCAGGATAACCAGCATTTCTTAAGAACAAACGTCTACGTATGCCTTTTAAAACAGGAAGTAAAAATTTCTTACCTCTGGATTCTGAACTGCTTATGTAAGTTAAAAACGGTAAATAAATTACAGCAAAAATATAAATACATCCAGTAATAAAATAAGTAATCTGTTTCAGCATGCCTTGAAGAACCATTGTTTGCCAAATGCATTACACGCCTTATGCGATTAAGGAGTAAGAAACACTGGAAGTAATCCAGTTGAAAGGTCTCATTCCTAGTTGCACAACTGGGAAGCTGAGCCCTAGTGGTGCAAGCAATCGTTGATTGTTTGGAGTCACTTGATATCGCACTTCCTGCGAGAAAAGAACACTTCTCCATTCACAAAACCTTTGACCTTGGCCCTTCCGTTCTGCTATACGCAGCTCTTAGCATGAGAGGAAGCTATAAGGAGCAAAACGTAATGTTTAAGACTACTAAGAAGTAGTTAGCACCCAACTTCTAACTTTTTTTCAGTCTAAATCTACCGTCTAACAGATTACATTAGTTTAGCAAACTCACCTAAATACGATATTATATTTAGATGCGGTGAAAATGAGTTTTAAAATTTCAATAAAGTACCTTCAGAACTTAAAAGATTACATTAAAAATAGGTGCCACCTGATCATTTAAATTTTATTTAGCACCTGAAAATAACATTCAGGTAATAGACTCACCCCCATACTCTAAAATGCCATTCATAAACTCGCACTGGAACGTCATCTCATACAATAGATACCTTTTCGCAAAGTACGATTACTCCCATGTAGTTGTTTCTTTAGGTACCTATATTCCAGTTCAAAAGTTATATTCAAATATTCTACCGATTCAGGATTACTTCTGAGACCCCAAGAGTTCCTATTTCAAATTACTATATCTCGAATACTGTATATACTACTAAATTTCGTCAGTACCCTTTATTACACTCAGCCTTTCTAAAATAAAACGCCATTCCATCCTTTTTAGACCTCAGACATTTAATGGTACCCCTTTGTTTTCATGAACGAAGCTTAGAAGCAGGGTCGGCGGTAGGCATTTTGCCGCCCGAAGCTATCTCTGAGCATCCTAAATTCTGAAAATTTTGTTGATCAGAGCTTTTCTGAATTCTAAAAATTTTGTTGTCCGGTACAGTATGCATACCAAGGGGGGAGGGAACCGACTCAAAGAAAAACAAAACAGCTGCAGTTGAATAGGTTAGCTCAGTACCTATTCAGTCCTCTCCCTAACTCACATCTGATAGTTTTATTCCCAACCCAGCCTTAATGAGAAGGATTCAATAATTTTAATCCTAAAAAAGCCTGATCTGGAAATATCCCCTCTTTTCGTTGTAAAACACAGAGCATGTTTCCATACCCTCTTTTATGAATAAAAGAAGGCAGAGTCAGTGCTCTCTACATACTCTCCTTCTTTTCTATTATTATTGTAATATACGCTATTGATTTATATTATGCGTTTCCAACGAACGTCATGAAAAAGCAACCTGTTATCGTCGCCCAAAAATTTTAACCAGAAATATAATTTTGTCATAATATGAAGTTTATAGACTCAGAAACTTTTTATATCAGAAATAGATATACCTCGCTATGCGCATGTTCAATATAATCGTCAAAACGTAGAATTTAAGTAAAATAAATCAGGAAAATTTTATCGGCAATTAATGTTGTTATTCTGTTGTCCATATTACATGGAACAATGGTTGCCACAGCCTACTCCGAAGAGAGGTTGGACTTCTATTCCCCCCCCTCAATTTTAGAGGGAGAGCACCCGGGGGGAAATCCAAGGTATCCCACCCCTCTCCCCTTCCACCAATCCACATGAGAAGACTTTCGGCTCGCCGCATATTTAGAGTGCCGCCGCCATGCCGCACCGACTTTATACATTTACAAACATCCATGTCTTCTCCGGGATTCGAACCCGTCCTTCGGTATCGTAGTAAGTTCCCCTAACTATTATACCATCTGGGCGACATCGTCAATTAATGGAAAGCGTTACACTCGGTTTGAAAATCGTCAAAATAAGATTGTTCATAATTATTTCAGTGAAAATATTATAATTGTTTCAGATCTTCTAAATGCTCAATTTGCTTAAAATTTAGCATGCATAAAGCAATAATAAAATGTTTTAATTTACATGTTCTAAGTACATAGTTGGCTAGATATGATTTTTTGACAACAACTGAAGTTTCTGTATATTCTCCATCTCATTCTAGCTTCCTGAAAAGTCGCGTCATGAATTAAAATGAAATAAAATGCGTGGCACCCATGAAAAAAATCTGTATTTAGAATTGCTCTGATATTAATAATTATTGATAACATTATTCAAATTTTTTTTATGTGTTAATAATTAATAAAAAATTTCTCTTGAGTAGGATATTGGTAGAAACCTCCGAATTAGCAAAGAAACATTCAGTTTAAGAGTCTTCCTGTCAATCCCGCAGGTATATTAAGTATCGCCAGACTTCCTAACTGTTAAGCTCTGGCCCAGATTCAGTGGAAGACATCTCAGGTTGGCAGTCCGAGTATTTTCCATCCCTTCATCCCCTACCACCAACCTCGCGAAAGTAGAGTCGCTGAGTATTTTGAGTGCCCCATTGCGAAATAGATATTGTATAACAAACATCCATGCCTTCCACGGGATTCGAACCCAGAACAGTATAAGTACAACATAATGTACATCACTGATGTCCACCATACTTTTACTTGTACCTATAAACAAAACAACTAAGGATTTATTGCTACTTCGGCTCAAAGTACAGAACTAAATAACCGATAAAATATACTTCTGCATCTAGCAGGATTGATAGACAATAGGAATTAAATTATCAATGTCAAAAAATTAAATTTAGGTGTGTGTGTGTGATTATGGCAAAGCTCAGGCTAAGCTGCCTAAGAGGAAGGGATGCCTCGTGGAGGTACTTCTAAGGGAAAATGGCTCGTATTACACGTTACACATGGGGAAAACCACGAAAAACGCCCATGCAGCCAGCCCGTTCGCGGGATTCGAACCTCGGACCGAACTACCAGTGTTCAGCGACTTTACCGCTCGGCCGCTGGTGGGCCATTAAATTTAGGTGTTAGTAAAGTGGTTGTGTGATATGCACTGCTTACGAAATTTTCGAGTAAAGGAAAACTCACCAACTACACTAGCAAGATCGCTAATGCCAAGCAATAACAAAGAAGACTGGTTATGACCGACTAATGTTGCCAAACTTGTTTCTCTTAAACTTAGAATCTTATATCTATTTAAAACATCTCTCGTTTATGTAAGTTGATGGAAGAGACGAAAGAGTAGAAGAATTGGACAGCTTTTAGCGTAAGAAATAACGTGTTAATTAAAATATACCTTATATCATTTAATGTAAAACAGGGGAAAATGAGATACTAATATTATTACAAACAGTAATTTTTAGTATATCTAAATGGAATACACATTTTATGATAATATAGTAAGGAAAGAGGTATCGAGCTTTTCAAAATATTAACTAAAAGGAACAAGGGCCGCCCAACCGGGATAGTGGTTAGCGACGCTGAGCGCGTACCGAAGGGCTTGGGTTCTAATCCCAGAGAAGGCATGAATGTTTGTAACTGTATACTGTCTATGCGGCATGGGGACACTCTAAATATGCGGCATGGGGGCACTCTAAATATGCGGCGAGCCGATAGTCCTCTCGAGTAGTTGATGGTATGGGAAGAGGGGTGGAAACCCTCGGACCCGTCACCACCCCGAGTGCTCTCCTTCAAAATTGGGGCAGGGGCGGAAATGAGCAAAGTCGTACTGTCACCTGTATGGTGCTCAAAGATCTTGCCAACGACAGCTACTCCTTACCACGATGACTTTTGTGTGCTTGTTCTGGTGTTACTGTCAGACAAGTGAGATAAGTCACAACAACAACTACATGAATAAGTTATAGAAGTAGAGTTGAGAAAAATGTCCTGAAATCTAGCGAAACGAACAGCATCAACTATTACTTTACGCATTTTGTGCTGTTATCGTTGCGATATAGCTTTTGATTTGCTAAACTTCTCGACGAAGTATTTTTATTATTAAAAGATTCGAGACTAAAAATAAATATTGAGAAATATAAATCTGCTTGTAAAGAATTAAGATACTAAGATTTAACGTTCTGTTAACTTTTATTTGAGTTAAAAAAGGGTGCTTTACATCCTTTCCCTGACTCTGTGGTATTTACAAGACATAACGATAATTCGCCACTTGTCGTTGCAAGAGTTTTCATACAATTGATATTACAGAAAAATATCAGACTCTGTACTGGTGCCCGAACTTACCATGTAGCAAGAAACTTCAAGATTTAGTTTGGCCTCCTCAACGTCTCAAGTTCCGCCGACTACAGTTAATCCCATGGAGGGATTTGAATATATTATTGGCACAGCACGGCCTGATATGAAACCTGCAATCGCATTCGATGGGAAAAGCTGAGTAATGAACTTTCTTGAACAATTGAATTCTCATGTCCTACTGTATCCAGTGCTAGAAGCGCAAAAAGTTACTAGCGCCACTGCTACTATTAAAGGCCAGGCCTCCACATGGTCCAAATGCATTGGAAGGTTTGTTTTGGGCAGAGGCGTAGCTAGGGTTTTCAGTGCCCGGGGACAACTGAAAGATTTTGCGCCCCTTTCTGTGTGCCACGAATGGAAAACACTTCAGTCTAAAATTTCGTACCATCAATTTGGCGCCCCCTGGATGTTGCGCCCGGGGACAGATGTCCCCCTTTGCTCCACCCTAGCTACGCCACTGGTTTTGGGTGAGCTAAGATGCGATACCTATGCATTTGGAATATTTTAAAAAATGCCTTTCACTAATGCGTTCCCCATTGTGAAAAATGAGACCAAGCTGGAGTCGGGGCTATTTAGTAAATTTCAGATTAAAGTGAAGGGCATGACAAACTTTACGGAAATTCCAAACTTTTTATTTGTTGTACGGCTAAAGGCCTGATGAAGAGATTATCCAAATTATTTTTCCAAGGTTACTACCCAAATCCACGACATTTTTGAGCTCCGCAATCCAAAGACTTTGGAAAATCTATTTGAATTAGCAACTAAGCTCCAAAATCGACGGGCGGGAGAAAAAAACACGTATGACAAGGTATGGCGAGAGGCCAAAATGAGCAAAGTTTTAGGCCAACGCCTCAGCGAAGGCCACAGTTTGGCCAGAAGAGATAGCTCGTTAAAAGACAAAAAGATTCAACCGCGAAAGGCAGTCGCCAAG